CCCCCCCCCCCCTTCCCCCCCTCGCCCCTCTTCAAGCGAATCCTTGCGTGCAAGGGCCATTCGGCTTCCGTGTTTTTTTTCGCACGTGCAAGACGTTTGCGGTTTGCTTCAGGTCCAGGCCCCCCCTTTCCCATGCAAGCAGCCCTGCCGGAGTCTAAGAGCACACCGGCTCGAAGCCCTGCCCCATGAGGCCGGCTCTGATCATCCCGAGTCCTTCTGCGACGGCCCCCGGGGGACTCGGAGGGCCGAGAGCTGCCAAAGCCCCCCCTCCCCGTCGTGATGCCCTGCCCCGCGCCTCCGAAGACGGCTGCCGCTGGGGAGTGCCCCGGGCTCTGCGCGCCCGAGGGCCGACGGCGCAGCGCGGGCCCTTCGCGCTGCGGGCTGAGCGCGCGGCTCGCGTCCCGTCTCCCCACGGGGGGAGGGAGCAGGGAGAAGGCCGTGTCAGAAGGCGGTGGGGCCTCTCAGAAGGAAGCTCCCCGGCCTTCTTCGGAGAGGTGATCTTTCATGTCTTCGGGGAGGTCTCCGAGCACTTCTCAGAATGCACGGGGCGTTTTGAGCCTTCTGAGAAGGCTCGCCCCTCTCACTGCCCCCCCGGGCTCTCCGCCGAAGTTTGTGCCGAGGCCCTCGCGGAGAACTGCCCCTCCGCGGCAGCGCCCCGGGCGCGCTCGGGATGTGCGAGCGCGCTGTGGGCGGATGGCAAGGCCTGGGAGTCGGCCGGGGCCCGAGGTGGCCCAGCAGCGAGCAGCACGTAGGGGTAAGTCGGGCGTGTCCCTCTACCGGGGGAATATTCAGAAATAGTAAAAAAAATACTCCGGGGACGATTTTTTGAGTATGTTCGAGCATTGTTGTAATATGTTCTGACTGTTTTGAATTTTTCGTCCAAAATTCGCCTGTAGGGGGACAGGGCCGACCTAACAGTAGGGGATGGGGGCGGGCCAGGTTGGACGAGGGCTCCCCCGAGGGTGCGAGGTGATTCGCGCTTCGCGGGCTGAGCGACGTCAGAGCGAGGCGCGAAGCTATGCGCGCATCGCGCTTCGCGCGTCGCGCTTCGCGAGCCCCTCGTCTTGTCCCGAGGGGGCGGTGCAAAAGCGCGAAGTTTTTCGCGCTTCGCGCAGCGCGCAGCGCGAAGCTAGGAGCCCTTGGTTCAAGGTGTTGGGTTCGAGAAGGGCTTGGGCCCTTTTCTGTCCCCTGATCCGTTTTCGGGCCCCGCGAGACTGTCAGAACCGGATCTGGGGTGAAACGTTGCGCCAGATGGACCCCAGGAGGGGTCTGGGGACCGATTTCGAGCGGATTTGTCTTCCTCCCCTCTCCTGGCCGATGTCCTAGGGTCCAAACCAGTTTAGACCCCCTGGCGGCCTCCAAACAAGACCGAGGAGGCGGGCCAGTGAATGTCGTGCTTGGCGATGCGATGCTGGTCCGCTTGGGCCTCGTCTCTGACTCGCCTGCACACGGTGCGCGCGCGCGCCTGCCTTAAGCCACCTTGAGACACAGCCGGCGGGGATGACTTTGGCCTGACAAGGCCCTCGTCGCCTGCCGGGATGGACAGGTCGGCCTCGGCGGTGATGCCGACCGCCCTCCTCCTCCTCCTCCTTCTCCTCCTCCTCCTCCTCCTCCTCCTCCTCCTCCTCCCGACGCTGCCGCGCACCCACCAGTGCGTTGCAGGAGCCCAGACGGTTCATTGGCGCAGCCTTTCCGTCGCTCGCCTGCCTTCGGCTCCGCAGTATTTGGTGGTCCAGTGGCCTCGGGCAGTGCCAACGGGGTTCACCACTAGGGTTCTGCTGTTCCAACCTACTTTAGCCTCCTTGGTCACCAGAAAGAGTTTCGAGCACCAAGAAAGTACCGAAACGTGAGGGTGTTCACGTGTCGGGCCCTGGGAGGCGATATTCGTTCGACATTGTTTCCATACCTTTCTGGGTGCCCGACATGATTTCTGCGATGCGACCCTCGAGTAAGATGGCAGCATTATATCACCGGGCGGGTCTCTAGCTTCTCCCTGGAAGTCTGGGTTCCAGGATCGAAGCTGGCTCGCGCAGGCGTTTTTTGATCGTTTTTGGACTCGTTTTTTTGTTGAGGGGGGGTGATTTGAAGCGTTCTGCTGGGGGGCCGTCCTCCTCGAGGAAGTGACGCGTGCTTCCTCGAGGAGGCGGAGGCCCCCTTTTGTGGTGCCCCCGCCCCTTTTGGCACGTTGATGGACAACATCCTGTCTCTTTTTTGCGATGCTTGTTATCGCCCCCCCCGCGCCCCAAACTTCATATTGACAGGCTGTGGCGCGATTTGTCGATCTGACGACTGGCCAGAATCCTGCACCCCGCGGGCGCAGCCAATCAACATTGAATCGGGGGCAGGGGGCGCGTGGAAGTTTGCGCTGTCGCCCCGGTTGCGCGGCTGGTGCAGGATTTTGTCCATCGATCGTGCCCCAGGACCAGTGCTGCTTGCCAGTGTGCTGCACTATCCCCCAAATCCCCTTCCCACCATCGTCTTTCGCTAGGGGAACGAACAATGGCATTAACATAAAAACCCGGATGTCCGCGCGGATTTCTCGGATCCGCACTGGACCCCCCTCCCTGGCGCGCGGAGCGCGTCAAGGGCGGCGCCGGAGGCGCCGCAAGGGGTGTCCAGCGCGGATCCGAGAAATCCGCGCGGACCTCCGAGTTTTTATGTTTATATCATTCTCGGATCCGCACTGGACCACCCTCCCTGGCGCGCGGAACGCGTCAGGGGCGGCGCCGGAGGCGCCGCCAGGGGTGTCCAGCGCGGATCCGAGAAATCCGCGCGGACCTCAGAGTTTTTATGTTTATATCATTGTTCGTTCCTATAGTCTCGTCCTTTCCATCGTCTCCAGATTTGCTTGTTGGAGGGAGACCTTCTCCCACAGAGAGAGGGGGAGGGGGCGGGGCAAAAAACACATTGTCACCTTATTCATGTTTTTTGGATTATATGTGTTTGGAGTGTTCCTCCTTGCCAGGCACGCCGTCTGTTTCTGTCCTGTCTTTGCATGCCTCGTTGCTTCCATGTGAGAGGGCAGATGTGGAGGAGGAGGAGGAGGAGGAGGAGGAGGAGGCGAAGTCGGCTGAGGCTGAGGCGGCAGTAGCGGGGGTGTAGGAGGCGGATGAGGAACACGGTGCAGCGGCATTTGCTCTGCGCGCCAAGATCACCACCTTCTCCGTCTGCATGGGCGCGAAGCCTGGTGAAGATGGGTGCCACCAGACGTCTGTTTGTTCACGGTCGCGATCGAAGTGCAAGCAGGAAGCAAAGCGAGGCAGACAGGAGAGGAGTACTGCCATGATGAAGTGTGACAGGGGCATACACGGCGTACCGTAATATCAAGTGCACTCACTTAAGACAGATCCTCTGCTCTGCGACTAGCGTCTTCGCATTTTCATGCGCAGTCGGCGCTTCAGCGCATGTCTGTGTGGCTCATTTTGCCCGCTGCCCTGTAGCAGCTTTCATGCTGCCAAAACCGAATCATGCCGGCCCTGGACGAGCTCTGAGATGATCGTGTGACTTGGCCAGCCGCAATGGTTTGAGCGCGCAGAAGGCACGCGAAACAAGAAACTAGGCTGCCACCAGGTGCCCCACGATAATTCCTTTTCTCCAGATGGCATCTCCGAGCCCGGGCAGCCCTGGGGCACCTCGCGAAGCTGAGGAGTGGACCAAGGATGTGCCCCTAGAATTTGTTACGTAGCAATAGGCCTTATCGCATGTGCCTGCTGCAGGAGCGAGATTCCGTTGCCCATACTTGGACTCAGGCTTTCGGAGGCAGAGATTGCCATGGGCGGGCACGTTGAGAGTATGAGCATTGCCAGGTGATCATTGTGGTTGGCATCGGCTCGACTCTGGTCGAGCGCGCGAGGCCAGACACGCTGCGGCAGCTAGGTCTGCGGCCATGCAGCGCGCGTCGAAGACACCAGTTCGCAGCGTTTTGGCCGGTCTTCTTCAGCCCGGTGAACTTTGACCCTCGTCGCGCGGATAGGCCACGCCACTTCATCATTGTCTCGTGTACACTACGCTCGTCGAGCGCATGCCTTGCATCCGATGTGGGAGGGCGCTGTAGTATGCAACGCTGCCATATACACCGCACTGGCGCCAGCATGCCCGTACCAGACATGTCCCGACCGGCACATCCATGCCCTCAGAGCGTTCGGGAGCGCGATAGGCTGGACGTGGCGCCCGACGGACGCTCCCTCCAGACTCGCGGGATGCTGGAGATCCCTCCGAAATTCACGCTCCACCTGTTCGCATCCAGCTCTTTCCGTGCGGGTAGGGTCCACTGCGATCCGACCGGTTCGACTCGATATCGAACTCGGCCTGCTCGGCCCGATTCGAGTCCGAGGTTCCATGGATCCGAGGCGGCCCAGTGATTGCAGGGCGCAGTGGTGCATCCCGGCGCAGCCGCTCCGGTTCGGTGTCGCATCCGTGCCGATGTGGCCCGAGATCCGACGCATGTTGATTGATTCAATCGACGATTCCTGATGCAACCCGATCTGTCTCGGGGGTGGACAGAACCCCCAACAGTGACACGTCGATTAGTGAATTGTCCGTTTTCGGTTCTCGAGAGGGCGCCGTGGCCGTTCTCTTCCAGGCTTGCGCCCGCCAGGTTTGGGCCTCAGGTCGTTTTCAGTAAACCACGTTTTGCTAAAGAGAGGTCTGTCCATCCCCGACTGACGCCAATCCGTGCGGTCTGGTTCGATTTCACGATTCGATGCAGCCTTATCCTGGTGAGGGGGGGGTTGGTGGGTGGGCCGGGGTGGCGCGCCCAGCCCTCGCAGTGAGTGAGCCCAGGCCTCCATGGGGTCCGGGTAGGTGGGGCCGGAAGGTCGCGCCGCATCGCCGATGCATCGGTGATGCGGCTCGATGTGTAGCCCGATTTCCTCCACGCCGGCGGCGTCGATGCATCGCCGTCGTCAGATGCATCGCCGAAGCATCGGCGATGTTGCGCGATCTTCCGACCCCATCTACTCGGACCCCCATCTAGGAGGCCTCAGGTGAGGGAGAGAGAGAGTTCCCCGTCTCCCCGAGGTACTTTGTCTGGAGCGACAACAGCCCCTTCGAGAGGCCCGGCCGCCTCCGCCCAGAGAGATGTGCCGCAATGGGGGTGGACGAAACCGTGGCTTTTATTTGACATAAACATAAAAACTTGGAGGGCCGCGCGGATTTCTCGGATCGGCGCTGGACCCCCCTTCCTGGCGCGCGGAGCGCGCCAGGGGCGGCGCTGGAGGCGGCGCCGGGGGGCCCCAGCGCCGATCCGAGAAATCCGCGCGGACCTCCGAGTTTTTTACCTTTATGCCACTTTTTGTTCCCCTATACTCGCTCCTCCTCCTTCGCAGGGCGCCTCACCTCTTGGAAGAAGCCCGATGGCCACGACCAAGCTGCCGCGGGCCTCCTGTCGATGCCGATCTCGGTCATGGCTGGAGCGGGCCGCCGCCGCATCGTGGGGACGATGACCAAGGCCGACACCGACGTTTCCGCGTTCAGTCTTGGTCATGGTCCTCGATTTCTTCGTTCTTGCCCTGCCCATTCCTGAGCTTGGCGGTGGCACCCAGAGGTGTGCCTTGCTGATTACGCTTCGGTGCTCATGTTTGACATGGAACCTGGTTCACGGAAGCTTCTCATCGCTCGCTGGCTTTGGGGGCTCGCAGGCACCTCGTGGTGCCTCGGCCCCAGAAGACTCGAAGCTCGACGACAAGCATGCCCCTGCATCTCTTAGAACAGGGGTTCCTCGTCGCATACGTGTCCGCTGTGTTCATACCTGCCGGGTCGGCCTCTTCGGCTCCGCGGTGTGCACGTCCTGGGCGTCGGCGCGCTCTTGCAGCCGTGCCATCTCTCTCTCGCAGGGCTTCGCCCTCTTTTGTGCGTGCGCGTGGCCTCCCGCTGCTCCACGGCGGCTGGCCGCGTGCTCCAGGGGCGATCTAACACGCTGTCTCTGAGCGCGACACCACCGCCAGAGATGCCACCTCCAGCGAGGAGGGCCACGGTGCCTCCACGAGCTGGGGGCAGCGGATGCCTCGGGCGGGGAGAGGGGGACCACACCACCAGGAGGACCCCCCCCCCTCTGGCTCCTCGCGGTGGTAGTGGTGGTGGTGGTGGTGGCGGCTGTGGTGGTGGTGGTGGTGGTGGTGGCTTTCCCTTGTTCCTGTGATGCTGGCCCGCTCTACGTAGAACTCTTCCACGCCTGAGGGCTTCCCCCTCCTCCTCCCCCCGCGCGGCCGCCCTCGTCTTGTATCCTTCCTCTTGCACGCCGGACAATGCGCCTCTCGGTTGCCTCGGGTAGCCCCACGCTGGAGCGGACTGACTCTCGCCGCCGACGAAACAAACATGTTTCCAGTGATGCTCCGCTCCCTCCCCTTGGGCAGCCCCCCGTGGCGCCCCGCGCTAGGCCAGAGGTCTTCACACGCGTGCCGGTGGTCGGCAAGCACACGTGGTCCGTCGCGCTCAGCAACGTGAAGCTGACGCGCCCAGGACCGGAGCAGCGGCGGCGGCGGGGGATCGAGGATCCGATGTTCCGCAAAAGAAATGTACACAGACACCCTCCAGTGGATTCTTCCTGGGCCTCTGGGGAGGGTGGCGGTGCATAAATCACCACTGGGAGCCAGCCTAGGGGAGGTAATTACACGCAAAATTCGTCGGAGGGTGTCTGTGTACATATATATATGTACATACATACATACATACATACATACATACATACATACATACATACATACATACATACATACACACATAAATACATACATACATACATACATACATACATACATACATACATACATACATACATACATACATACATACATACATACCTATATACACACGTACATACACACATACATACATACATACATACATACATACATACATACATACATACATACATACAAACATACATACATACATACATACATACATACATACATACATACAACATACATACATACATACACTACATACATACATACATACATACATACATATATGCATGCATGCATACATACATACATCCAACATACATACATACACATACATACATACATACATACTTACATACATACATACATACACACACATACATACATACATACATACATACATACATACATACATACATACATGCATGCATGCATGCATACATACACACACATACATACATACATACATACATACATACATACATGCATGCATACATACATACATACATACATACATACATACATACATACATACATACATATATATATATATGTATGTGTGTAGTCGTGACGTAGATGTGCCCGGGTATCCTGGCGCTGCACTTCTTTCACCACGGGCGCTTTCGCCCGGCCCTGGGCCCTGGGTCCCTCACAGCGATCGCTCCGGCTCGACAAGAAAAGGGCGCAGAGAGACGGGGCCAAGGGCTCCAGTCGCGATGTTTCGCGATCTCAGGATCGAAGGGTGGGAGGGCTCCACCTCGCGTGGGCCTCCGGGAGGCTCCTCCTCGCTCCGGGAGGCCTCCTCCTCGCATCTCCTCGCGAGGGCCTCCGGGAGGCTCCTCCTCGCTCCGGGAGGCTCCTCCTCGCGAGGGTCTTCTGCCGCAGCGTCGGATCTCAGGGTGGGAGGGCTCCACCTCGCGTGAGCCTCCGGGAGGCCCCTCGTCGCCGAGTCGGGAGTCTCGCGGCACGCTGGCCAGGGCGCGCTCCCGGGGATGTCAGGGTGGGGTCTGCGAGGGGAGGGGGGGGGGGCCACGGTGAAGGAGAGGGGCCCTAAGAGCGGCGAGGTGTGCTTCTGGACTCCAGTCTTCGGCCTCTCGGGGCTCTCAGGGGAACGGGGTACCATGGCCGGACCCATGGTATCTCCCCAGACCTCATAGCGTCTTGTTCTTCGTCCACCACGTCCCCTGGTCCCCCACCCGATCGTCCGCACGTGCGCCTCGGGCCACGATGTGCTCCCCCCTCCCCCCCCTCTTGGGCGCCCACGGTAAGATGGGGTGGGCATGCTCTGACCTCTTCCGAGGGGTTCGTCGGGCCTTCCAGGGCCTGGAAGGCTGCCGTGCGCTCCTCTGTCGCTGCTGTCTCCCGGGTGGGTCGGAGCTGGTCCTCGCCAGCTGGCCCTGGGAGACCTCCAGGGCCCCCCGTTCCTCAGGAGGGGAAAAGCACACAGACACAGTTAATCGTCGACTCCCAAGAAAATATGGGAGAATATGGGAAGTGGTGGGGAAGACAAAACTTCAGAAAATATTTGAAAATATGGGGAACCCAGTTATTTGTGTGTATTTATGTGTGTGTCCAAGGGCCCCTTCAATTCCCCCCTTCTGTCCTGGCCGCCGCCCTGGCCGCTCCACGGCGGTCCTCCCTGCCAGGGGTGCTCGCTCCCGTTTCCCTGGGGTTGGCGGGGGCTTCGGCACGCGGAGTGAGGCTTCGGGAGAGAAGGTCGGGCAAGAGGTCTGGTTCGGTGCGGCTCTCCTGGGGAGCACCGAGCAAGTGGGCGTCAGCCGGGGAAAGCTGTGCCCACGGGGTCTCATCGGGTGACGAGGGAGATGGGGGAAGGATGATGGTGAGGAGAAGGAGGGGGAGGAGGAAGAGGAGGACTGAGCGAGAAAGCGGGATGAAGAGGGAGGGGAGGCGGAGGAGGAGGAGGAGGACCTGGAAGAAGGACGATGGGCAGGCTTGAATGCAGACTTGGCAGGATGAGGAGCGAGGATGAGACTTGCATGTAGGTGCGGGTGGGGGAGGGAGGAGGCCTGTGGTGGGAGGGTTGCAGGGGTCATGAAGCAGGAGGCTTTCGCAGAGGCGACGATGGGAGGCCCGAAGGGCTAAGAAGGGAGGGGTGGGATGGAGAATCAGGGCCTCCTCCTCCTCCGCCTCCTCCGCCTCCTCCTCCTCGTCTCCTCCTCCTCCTCCTCCTCTCCTCCTCCTCCTCCTCCTCCTCCTCCTCCTCCTCCTCCTCCTCCTCCTCCTCCTCCTCCTCCTCCTCCTCCTCCTCCCTCCTCCTCCCTCCTCCTCCTCCTCCTCCTCCTCCTCCTCCTCCTCCTCCTCCTCCTCCTCCTCCTCCTCCTCCTCCTCCTCCTCCCCTCCCCTCCTCCTCCTCCTCCTCCTCCTCCTCCTCCTCCTCCTCTCCCCCTCCCCCTCCTCCTCCTCCCGCCTCCCTCCCTCCTCCCTTCTCCCTCCTCCCTCCTCCATCCATTCTCCCTCCTCCTCCTCCTCCTCCGCCTCAACTTCCTCCTCCTCTTCATCCTCCTCCTCCTCCTCCTCCTCCTTCTCCTCCCTCCTCCCTCCTCCCTCCCTCCCCCTCCCCCTCCTCCTCCTCCTCCTCCTCCTCCTCCTCCTTCTCCTCCTCCTCTTCCTCCTTCTCCTCCCCCGAAGGGCTAAGGAGGGAGGGTCGGAGTTGAGGGGGGGAGCTCGGAACGGAACGGAGACCCCTCCACCGGGAGCTCGGTTTCGCGTTCGGTCTCGGGTGCGCGTCGCGCGTGCGGGCGAGGGAGGCGAAGCTGCGCGTGCGGGCGAGGGGAATGAGCTCTCCTCTGGCTGGGGCGCAGCGAGGACAGGAGTCCGCCCCCCCTCCCGGCCGCGTGGCGGGCGGGGACCGAGGGTGTCCCGCCGTGGTGTCCCGATGGTCACCCGTAGTGTCCCGTGGTGTCTGCGGTGCCCCCATTGGTGTCAAAATGGTGTCTTGTTGGTGCGTCGATGGTGAACCGCGGTGTCCCGCCGTGGTGTCCAAATGGTGTCCCGTGGTGTCCCGTGGTGGTGTCCCGTGGTGTTCCGTGAGACCGATAAATGGATCGATAGTGAGATCGGTGAAGAAATCGATAGTGAGATCCATAGTGAGACCGATCATGAGATCGATAGTGATATCAATAGTGAGATCGATCGTGAACTCGACAAGCGAGTTCGATTGTGAGGTCGATTGCGAGATCGATAGAGATATCTGTAGCGAGGTCGATCGTGAGATCGATAGTAATATCGATAGTAATATCGATAGTAATATCGATAGTGAGGTCGATAGTCAGGTCGATTGTGAGGTCGATTGCGAGATCGATAGTGAGAGGGATAATGACTTCGATTGTGAGATCGATCTGGAGATCGAACTTGTGATCGATAGTGAGAACGATCGTGAGGCCGATAATGATATAAATCGTGACATGGATAGTGAGATCGACTGAGTGAGGCGTAGGATTGTCTGGTGTGCGATTCCATCCCTTCGGGTGCCAGAGACTCGCACACAGGATCCATTGTGTAGTTGTGTAGAGCGGCGATCGACTAGGCCCTGTGCGAAGACAGGGCTCTGAAGTGCACGCGATGAGTGCAGCAGCGCTCTTGCACTGGGTCCACTTACCAGGGAGGCTCAGGATGAGGACAAGTCGCTCCAGAGAGTTTCGGATCGCTCCGAGAGCATTGCGCGACGCTCATGAAGCATGTTGAATGGCCGCGGCGCCCGATGGTTCCTCCAGACCCACTAGCTCTCATGCATATCCGATGGCACATCCTGCCTTCGTCTCAATTTCGGGTTTGACGTCCGCTGGAGAGGATCCGAGGCTTTTTTCCCCACTGTTACTTTGAACTTTGAGCGCAACAAAAATCATGATGTCCGCCTGGGCTCCCCTCGGATGAGCGGGGATGCGAGCGCAGAGGCGCGTGCGGTCGTGCGCGACCCGCCGCTGGTGATAACGCGAATGCGCGAGCGTCGCGGCGACGACGACGGCGACGGCGACGACGGCGGCGGCGCATGCGGCGATGGCGGCGACGACGAACATCGCGGCGACGGCGGCGACGGGGCCCCGGTCCACGGGCGAACTTGCGCCCCGCCTTCGCTCCTGGAGTCCTGGGCCAGGTCTTATGGGAGGGGCGAAACTTGTGCGCGCAACTTTCCCCCGGCCGTGCCTCCGCTTTACTGAAGCTCTCTTCTCGCTTTCGTAAAACGTTTTTTCACTCTCGGAATGTATCCAGCGGCGCGCCTCTACGAAAGCCGCTTCCGCGCTTTAGTAAAGCCGCTCCCATGCTTTAGTAAAGTCCGCGGTCTGCCTTTATAGACCCTGGGGATGCGGTGGTGATGCGGGGCCAGGGCCCAGTCTGGGGTCCGGGGGGCCCTTGTTTTTCCTGCCAGCTCGCCCCGCGATGCATTTGCTCGAGTAATCAGGATCGCGTTTCATCGGGTCGCGGCGACCCTTGGACATGTTTTCAGCGACTTGTAAATGCTCCTTGACAGAAGATTCTGGGCGCGAGCGCACGGCGCGGCTCGGCAATTCGGACGCGCCGCCGCGGCTATCGCGCAACAGAGCAACAACACTTTACTAAAAGGCTTGTTGCCTTTAGCAAATAGCTCCTTCAAAGTAATGGTGTGAATTTACCGCTTCCAAGAGGAGGAGGAAGAGGAGGTGGAGGAAGAAGAGGAGGAGGACACGGACCAGAGGGAGATGGGGGACGTTGGGCGCGGTGCCGTTCCCAGGACCCGCGCAGGTTTGTTGGCGCCGCTGCGCCGCCCCTGGAGCACATCATCTCACCGAAGCTCTCACCGCCTGCTCTGGTCGCCCGTGGGCTAGAGAAGCTCTCGCGTGCCTCAGAGAAGAGCCAGGGGCCTCAACCTCAAGGGTACCTTCGAGGGCGCGAAATGTTTCGCGCTTCGCGTTTCGCGGCTCGGCTCCGATTCCGCCTCGTGCTTCACTTCTCCCCCGAGGGGGCGGCGTGAGAGCGCGCAGTTGCTCGCGCTTCTTAAGTTCGCGCAGCGCGAAGCGCGAAATTAGGCGCCCTTGGAACCTCGGGGTCGGCCCAGGATTTCCCCAGATGCTTGCCTGCGTCTGCATACGTTTCCCTGCCGGCAAACCCCGTGCAGTACACCCCTCCTCTCCGTGCCCCGCGCCGCCCGCTGCGGGGCAGGGCTACCTCCTGGAGACACGCCGCCCCGACAGACATCGAATCTCCCACAGCGGTCTTTGGCCGTCTCTTCGGGGCCGCCGGGGGCCCTCGCCGATCCTCGCGGGGGTGCCAACAAAAAAACGGCGATGCAGGACGAAACGCCGGAGTGGTCCAGAGCTTCGGGAGCGTCGAAGAAGACAAAACGGCACACAAACACACACACACACACACACACACAAACACGCACACACAAACACATACAAACACACGCACACACACACATACGCACACAACACACACACAACACACAACGCACAACACACAACACACACAACACACACACACAGCACACACACACAACACACACACACACGCGCACGCACACACACACATACCCATACACATACACATACACACATACACATACACATACACATGCACATACACATACACACACACACACACATACACACACACACACACGCGCACACGCACGCATGAACCTTGGGCGCTCCGCGCGGACTTTTTGGATCTGCGCTGGGCCCCCCTCCCGAGGCCCGGCGAGGGCCCCCAGATGCCGAAAACGGCCAAGGACCGCCCGCTCCAGTTTCTGTCGGAGCGTCGGCTCTCCGGGGTGGGGCGGACAGGCGAGGGAGCAGGCGGCAGAGGTGGGCCACGAGGAGGAGGGGCGCGGCGAAGTGAGGGAGGGGAGCCAGAGGCCCAGACATCCGACGACTGGACTTTTCAATATCCGGGACCGCCACGCTCCCATTGTTGTCGGAGCGTCGGGCCTCTGGGGATGCGTCCATAGGGGAACGAAGAATGACATAAGCATAAAAACTCTGAGGTCCGCGCGGATTTCTCGGATCCGCGCTGGACCCCCCCCCCCCTGGCGGCGCCTCTTGCGCCGCCCCTGGCGCGCTCCGCGCGCCAGGGAGGGGGGTCCGGCGCCGATCCGAGAAATCCGCGCGGACCTCCGCGTTGTTATGTTTCGGAAATTGGAGCATATACATTACCACTGGCGGGCTCGGACTTTTTGAGGGTCGGGGACGACGTCGGGGTGGTGTGGTGTATGCTTCTTTCCCCGTTCTCCCAGAGGGAAGGAATGAGACATTCTATACACCAGGATCCCGTATTCACCCGGAGCCGCTTCCGTGTGCGAGTTCCGGTGCGGGGCCAGCAGGAAGCGTCGGTGTCTAGAGTTCGGCTCCTTCATGTTTTTGCCATTCCTCGTTCCTCCCGTCCGTCGCCCGGGGGGGCGCCGCGCGCCGCCGCGCGCCGCCGCGGGCCGCCGCGCGGAGGCAGCGTCACCTCCACGGACGTCGCCTGCGGGGGCGCCCTCGGCTGCAACGCGCTGGTCGACTCGGGCGCCCCGCCCCCTCCGCCCGCGCTCCTCTCGCCACCGGGGGGGGCACGGGGCCTCCGTCGGCGATCGGGGGGCCCGCAGCAAAGGCCCCAGACCTCCTCCTCCTCCTCCTCCTCCTCCTCCTTCTCCTCCTCCTCCTACTCAGTTCCTTCTCCTCCTCCTTCTCCTCCTCCTCCTCTTCCTACTCAGTTCCTGCTCCTCCTCTTCCTCCTCCTCCTCCTCCTCCTCCTACAACTACTACTACTCAGTTCCTCTTCCTCCCTCTCCTCCTCCTCCTCCTCCTCCTCCACCTCCTCTTCCTCCTCCCCTTCTCCTCCTCCTCAGTTCCTTCCGTAGCCATGTTGGCTCAAGATGTTTTGGTCCTCGGGGCCAGAAGTGGATACCTCTAGTCCGAGGCTAGCTCCCGTGTCAGGCAACCCCAGTCGAGCTGCGCGCTGCTGGGGCCAAGAGTCTGTCTTCCTCCCGCGAAGGCTTTAGCCTTCCCGCTGGGCCTCTCGGCTGCATCAGCAGTCCATAGCGTTCAATATTCTCCTTCGCGACGGCCTCCCCCTGTCCGTACCCGCACATCCACAGTGGCACTTGGTGGAAGCAGCGCGGAGGTACTTGGCAGTGGTCGTCGGATCCCGGTCCCATGCCTCTCTCAGTTAGCAGTGATTCTAGTGACTTTCGCGAGACCGACCGCAGCCGCAGTGACAACCTCAAAGGCCGACGACACAAACAAGATGACACTCCCGTTCGGCGGTCTGGACGGGCACACCGAGCTGATCGTGACCGCGAGCGGGACCGAGATATAAGTGAACGAGTTCGCCAAGGGGGTGATGCACGAGCGGTCGCACCGATCGTGATGGCCACGCAGTGACGGTCGCACCGATCGTGATGGCCCACAACTTCGATCTGGACGCGCTGGCGCTCGCTCCTCTGACCGCCGTGAACCAGAGGCAGGTGCTGAGCGTAGAGTTGGTGATGCCGCTGCTGTTCGCGCTGCCCTGTCGCCGGCTGCGGTCGAGCGGCTCGCAGCGGACATGGAGGCAGCGCCCACATTTCCTGAAGCCGAAGTGCATCCTGGACATCCTGGTCATCCTGATGGTGCTGCCCTCGCTGCTGCAGCGCAGTACGGCGACGCTGCGATGCCCGTCGCTGCTGGCAGCAGCGGGGGCCCGCTGCAGGATAATGATCCGTGGGGTGGCACACAGGGTTCTGGTGGGCTCGAGCAGCGCCTTCGAGAAGCTGCGCGAGTTGATACTGATGCGATTGGGGCTGCGGCAGCTGCGTCGGCTGCGAGTGCGGCCGCCAGCGCAGCTGCGGCTCAGATGGAGTCCATCGCGGGCCAGCTGCGCACTTCGTTCTTGGCGGAGCAGGAGTGGACTCACAGGCGTCTGGATGCACAGGCTCGCGAAGCCCAGTCAATTCGCCAGCGACAAGATCAGGCTGCAGCTGAGCAGGCCGCAGTCGGGGGGGGTGCCCGAATTCCCGGTTTGGGTTCCCTTGGGGGGGTTTATGGGGGGGTTAGAATCTCACACGCCTAGAGACCCACAAGGGGTCAGACCCCGACGTTTTGATTTTTGTCATGACGTGACCCCGGGGAGCCTGGACCCCTCCCCGGGAACCGTTGTTTCATCCTGCGTCGTCTGTCGACGGCCCCGAGGCCCGGCGAGGGCCCTTGGCGGCCGAAGACGGCGGACAGCCTCCCGTCACGATGTGTGTTGCAGCGCGAGGGGGTCTGGGTTGCAGTGGAGGCCCACGCCAAGAGACACCCTGCGTGCCTCCAGGGTGGTGCCCTGGGTCTCTTGGATGTCGGTGGCTTTGCCACGGAGAGCGTGACGCTGCCCCACCAGAAATCATCAGGAGGGGAAAAACACACAGACACAATTAATCGTCGATTCCCCCGAAAATATGGGAAGTGGGGGGGGAAGACAAAAACGCAGAAAATATAGGAAAATATGGGGGAATCATTTTATTTGTGTGTATTTATGTGTATGTTTGTGGGCCCCTTCAAATCAGTGGACGTCCTGGGGTCTCAGGGCTGGGCCTCCTGTGGAGGCTTTCTTTGTGGACTGGCCTCCGCGATATACGTGCAGTGGACTCTCCCCGTCTGCCCGGCGTGGGGCGCACCGGGAAACACCGGTGTGCCCTCCTCCTCCTCCTCCTCCTCCTCCTCCTCCTCCTCCTCCTCCCTCCTCCTCCTCCCTCCTCCTCCTCCCTCCTCCCTCCTCTTCCTCCTCCTCCTCCGCCTCGCTCCTCCTCCTCCCTCCTCCCTCCTCTTCCTCCTCCTCCCTCCTCTTCCTCCTCCTCCATCCTCCTTTCGTGCGTCCGACCCGAACATGCAGCACAGCCGTCGTGTGGCACATGCTCACCGCCCACCACGCCGACCCAGCCCGAATGCCCCGATTCGCCCTCCACTGCCAGTGGTGGGGGGGGGGATCGGGGAACGCTGTCAAAGCGCATCTGAAGCTCATACGGTACATCGACAAAATGTTGCGCCACCTGGTGTTGTCAAGAAAGCAAGCCGATTTTGCAATGGATGTTCGCTTCCACCCCCCCTCCCCCCAATCTTACCATTGGCTGCGGTCCCGTGTTCATCGAAACGGCTCGGTGGTGCAACGTTCTGTCGCGAGCCCGGGGGGGCGCCAAGGGACCTTTGGCATGTGCCTAATATTAAGATCAGGGGGAGGGGGGGGGAGGAGCAATGCAATATAGCTGACAATGCGCGGCAAAAAAGGTGCAACATTTTGTCGACGTACGGTACCCCCCCCCGACCCGAAATTCTGGCGAAATTCTGGCCTTCGGGTTGGGTTGGGGTGGTCTGGTAGGTAGCCACATGCGGTGGAGGCGTTGGTTAAGGGACGTGCACGGGAGGCTTCAGACCCTGGAGGGTTCCTTATGTGATGAGGGCGGCGGTAGTATGCGCTGCCAATCCGCGATTGGAGTTCCACTGGCTTCCAGAGCCTGGATTCCTTATCCAATGCTTCCTTATGCGGCGGTGGTCGCCCTCACGGACATCGTCGGCCACTGCCACCTCATGATCGACTGCCTCGGCACGGTCGGGGCCTGCAAGGTCGTGAAGAGGGCGGCGGGCCCGACGGCCCAGTTCGCCCACCTCTGGGCGAGGGTCGGCGACGCCGCCGAGGGGGTGCACGTGAAGCACATCCCCGCCCACCGTTCGCGGGCGGCCGTCGAGCGGGGCGAACTCACGGAGGTGGAGCTCTACGGCAACCGCCTCGCGGACCAGCTCGCGAAGGCGGGCGCGGCGCTGCGCGCCATCGCCGACGAGGAGGCCCTCCTGCTCCAGGGCTGCCTGGCCCGCGCCCGTGACGCGGCGCGCTACGCCGCCGAGTTCGAGGTCCAGGCCACGGAGTCGGGCATGCGGGACTCCTGGCCCATCAGCTCGCTGGAGCTGGTCGACCTCACCCCCTACATGGCGGCGGAGCTCGACGGCGAGGCCGACTTCCTGCACGCCGCCGCGGCGGAGCCCGCCCCTGGGACAGGTGGATTCAGCCCACCGAAGTCGCAGTCCCAGGGGCGAGGCGACTTCAGGATGATGCACGACGCGGAGGTGCGCGGGCTTGCCGTGACAGCGGCTGGCAACCTGAAGGAGCCCGACGCGGAGCCTTGCGATGACCACGGCGAGGCGCAGGCCTCGGCGGCTGACGGCGGCCCCCTCCTCGCCACGGCGGCGGCCCTGGCAGCGGTGGCGGCAGCTGGCGCCTCCAGCTCGCGGCCTTCGCCCGCGAGGCGCCGCCCCGCCTCGGCCGAGACGCCCGCGGAGGTGCTGCGCCGAGTGGCCCAGCGCAGGGCGCAGGAGCAGCCGAGGCGCCGCGAGGCCTCGGCGCCCGCGCCCAGCCCGCGCCTGGCGGCGGCAGCGGCGGCGAGCAGCGGCCCAGCCCCTGCGGAGGCGGCAGATTCGGCCCGTCCAGCGGGATGGAGGGTCAACGGCCACCTCCTAATGGAGTCGCGCGTCGAGGGCGACGACTCCGAGCCCTTCCTGGTCTGCGCGGCTTGCTGGATGTACTGCCGCCTCCCCAGGTACGCGCACCGCGGCCTGGGCAAGCCGCGCGGGGCCAGCGCGGCGGCTGGGCAGCCCAAGAGCAAGAAGGGCTCCAGAGCCCAGGCGCGGTCGGACTTCGCACGTGGCATCCTGCCAGCGTCGAAGGATCCGATCGCGCCGCTGGCCTCGCCAAAGGAGAGCACGCGCCTGCGCTGGGCGGCGGCTCTCCAGGCCAGGCAGGGCAACGGCGCGGAGGAGCAGGCGCTCGAGGCGGCGCCCGTGCCAGCGCAGCGGCAGCCTGCAGCCGCCCCGCCCCCGCCACCTGCGGCTGGCGCTGGGAGCCAGGAGGCAGCGCCGCCGAGCGCCGCGGCGCCGCGGCGCCTGGCCGCGGCGCCCCCGCGGGCGGAGGCCGCCGAGCCGCGGCGGATCCGCCCAGGGCTCGAGGGCGTCCTCCGAGCCCACGGCTTCGCGGACGCTGCGGCGGCCCGCGAGCGCGGGGGAGCCGCGAGGGCAGCGGCCGCCCGCGCAGGCCGCGCGGCGGAGTTCGCCGTGGGCTGATGCGGGCTCGGCAGGTGGCTGTAAGCGCTCTCGCGGCCCTCCGCCTGCTCTGTCTCGTTCGAATGCTTGCATGCACCCCCTGTGCGCGCGCAGGGCCCCCAGAGATAAAAAATGCCCCCTATCGTGCTATGTGTCCTCCTCGCAGGCGTGCGTCCGACCCGAACACGCGGCACAGCCATCTCGTAGCATAGAGCTTCCCGAGCGGCACGGCCAGAACGCACCCGCAGAGGAGCACGTACTACAGGGTGTCTCGGTGCGCGCGTCGCCCATTTGGGGGGCGTCGCACGAGGCGAGCTAACAGTCTGTTAGACAATTATGTTTGACAGTTCCGCGTCGTGTGAACGTTTGTTTCAGGCGTGTGTGCTGAACCTGGCATGCAGGTAAACCCAGCACACTCAGTGCGCGCCCGTGCGCGGCGTTGGCGACTGTGCCCCCTCGGTCCTGCCCACTGGCTCGCAGAGGACAAAAAACATGGGGGCGTCGCGCGCCTAAACGTGCGGCTGCTCCAATGTGTTCGGTGCGTGGGCCTCGGCGGTCCAGACCACTTCCCCTGGCCCGGTGCGTCGTCCCCGAGTCGACCTTTGACGCTCCCGAGGCCCGGCGAGGGCCCCCCGGAGGCCGAGGAGGCCAAAAACCCACCCGTTGCATTGCAATGTTCGTCAGAGCGTCGGCTCTCCAGAAACCCAGACCCCCTCGGGTCATGAACAAATCATGACGAAAGGTTTCGTTTCATTTTTCTATTATTTTCTGCTATTTTCGGCTTCTGGGGGCCCTTTTCTGATCTTTTCGGCTTCTGGGAGCCCTTGCCGGCCCTCGGGACCTTCAAAAAACGGCCCAGGATGAAACAAGCCGGTCCAGGGGAGTGGGTCGATACCTCCGTGGACCGACGTTGTGATCAAGTCATGACGTCGGGGGTCTGAGAATGCTCTTCAGGACGCACCCTTTGGATAGTCCTGGGGGGCAGTTTTAGCGGGTTTCGACACCTGCTGGTTTCCCCAAGGACGGAGCTTGTGGGCAGCCTTCCCGGACTCGGCGGCGAGCGAGGGGGTATAAATGAGAAGGAGAAGGCCTTCTCGGGAGGCGGCGGGACTTCTGAGAAACCCTCGCGCCTTCTGAGAAGTTTTCGGCGTCTTCGGGGAAGGCTCCGAGAACTTCTCGGCAGGCCGGGAGACGTCCGAGCCTTTGAGAAGGCCCACCCCTTCTCTCGGGACGACCGACATGGGTACGGAAAGACTGGGTACAATGCCCAATAGCTCGCCCTGTCCATTTTGAACAGGACTCGCTGTCCGCGCCGCCATGGCCTGTGTCCATTTAAGACAGAAGGCCGCCTGCCCAACAGCGGCCGCTGTTGGTTTGGGACAGCATTTGTTATTGGGCATTGTACCCATTTTTTTCCGTACCCATTTCGTGCGTCCAAATTCTCATTTCCCCCCGGGCTCGCCGCCGACAGGCATGCGCGTGTTGTGACAGATCACGACGGGGAGCTTAAGATTTTGCCTGCCGCTTTCGGCGTCCGGGGGCCTGGGGGCCCGGTACATATTGAGAACCGACGACAAACACCAAAACATAAACTTTTTGGCGCTCCGCGCGGATCTCTTGGATTTGCGCTGCATCCCCCTCCCTGGCGCGCGGAGCGCGCCAGGGGCGGCGCCGGAGGCGCCGCCGGGGGGGCCCAGGCGCGGACCAGAGAAATCCGCGCGGAGCGCCAAAAGTTTATGCTTATGTTTTGGTTTTTCTTCTTCTAGGGAAGCCCAGTCGTCGGATGTCTGGGTCTCTGGCTCCTCTCCCTATCACTCCGCCGCGCCCCTCCTCCTCGTGACGACGGCGCCGCGCCGTTCGTGTGCCCACGCCGCCTCTCAAGTCGGGCATGCCCCTCTGCAGGAGGAATATTCAAAAATAGCAGAAAATAGTCTGGGGAACATTGTTCTATTATTCAAGCAGTGGCGAAGCGTCCTGGCTCGCCTATAGCCCTACCAAGCAATGCTCTAAGAACCTTTTGCGGCTTCCACGAAATGTTAGAGCATTTCTGGTTGAGATTGTCTTGTTTTAACACATCGGGTTTATGTTCTAAGAGAATTGTTTGTTATGATAACATTTTTGGGTTCTGAGAGAATTTCGTTGTAGGATCATAAGAATACCGGGACGGTCGGTCCCTGCTCACATTATCTTTGACTATGCTTTATGTTTGTTTGAATATGTTTTATTTTTCGTCCCAAATCCGCCTGTACGTGGACGTGCCCGACCTGAACCTTCTCTGGTAGCGTGCCGGCCGCATACGAGGTGCAGGGGGCTGCGGCATGCGATGGCAGGCGGACGGCTCTGTGGGTCGATCGGGGAGGAGCGAGTGGCGGGAGTGCGGGCGTGCGGCGCACGTGTCTCCCCATGGCCCCATCGAAGTCCCTCTAACCAGCCCCCCCATTTCGGGAACTCGACAAATTCGCGCCGCAGATGGTGAGCAGCACTCGCGTCCGGAGGCCACTTCCAGGACCCTGTGCGTCAAGACAACTTCGTGTACGTAGAAATATTTACATGCGTTAGAGTTAAGTCGGACCTGTCCTTCTACAGGAGGAATATCCAAACATAGTCAAAGAATAGTCTTGGGACTACTTTTTGACCATTTTTGAACATTTTGGGGGTATTTTTTGAGTATCTTTTTTTCGTCGAAAATCCCCCTGTAGGGGGACACGCCCGACTTAACGTTAGAAGGATGGACAGCAGGCCTGGCGAAGGGGTCGAGGGGTCTGGGGGCCTGCCGCATGTCCGGGGGGGTCCTCCACTCGCTGAGCCTTCCCCGCCGTCGCTGCCTCTAGACGTCCCGAGGTCTTTTGTGGAAGTGCAGATGTCGCGACCAAAAGGAGGTCTATCGCTACCAGCGGCGCTCAAAACCGTCCAGGTAATGTCCAGGCTCGTACCAATATTTCGCCTTGTATTACAGGTTGCCGTGAGAGGGACGCATCAATGTGACTTCCATCAATATTTGAGGGGGTAATCCCCAACTCAATGTCCAGGTAATGTTGCCCTTCTGTTTTTTGCTCCCCCTCCTCCCGCTTCCGCTGCTCGCTGCCCGCCGTTCCTTCTCCATGGCGCTTCGCCGTTGCTGGCGCCGATGTGGAGGCACGTCACTGCTGGCCGTGCCGCATGCGATCGTGCACCAAATCCAGGAGATGCTGCTCGGGGCTGCTAGAGTGGGTTGGTGGAGAGAGAGGGTCGGTACAGGAATGAGAGAAGGACAGCGGCTGTCCGTTCGTCGCATTTCGTCGCAGGAGGAGGTGCGTCAGCAGATAGTGGTCGGAAGGAAGAGATGCAGGAATGATACTAATGATAGTATGGGTGAGAATGGCAGGAGGTAGGTGATTTCGGAAAATCGGGCGAACGCGAACGTGGACGTTGCATATACGATAGCTCCCAACCATCCTGTGGTGTTGGGTCTTCATTTTGAAGAGACAGCGCCTCGCGTTCCTTCCTTCCTTCGTTCCTTCTTCCTCCTCCCCCGCCTCCTCCTCCTCGTCGTCCTCCTCCTCCTCGTCGTCCTCCTCCTCCTCGTCCTCCTCCTCCTCCTCTTCCTTTTTCCGCACCATCCTTTCTGGTGGTGGTTCTTCATTTTGAAGAGACAGCGCCCCGCATTCCTTCCTTCCTTCCTCCCGGCCCTCTTCCCTCCTCCCCCTCATTGCTTCTGCCCTCTCCGCACCCACGCTTCGTGGCCCCATAGGTACCTCCACTGAAGGCCGAAGTGGCTGCGCTCGCATGCGCCCGCCGCACCGATGTCCACACACCCCGCACATGTTTCGTGGCCCCGGAGGGAGCTCCACCGAAGGCCCCAGTGGCTGCGCTCGCAGGCGCCCGCCGCAACCATTTCGGCACACCCCTCACACGCTTCGTGGCCCATACGGAGCTCCACCGAAGGCCGCAGTGGCTGCTCTCGCATGCGCCTGCCGCACCCATGTCCGTACACCCCTCACACGCTTCGTGGCCCCATAGGAGCCCCACCGAAGGCCCCAGTGGCTGCGCTCGCATGCGCCCACCGCGCCCCTTCAGGCACACCTCTCACACGTTTCGCAGCCTCATAGGGAGCTCCACCGAAGGCCGCAGTGGCTGCGTTCGCATGTGCTCGCGTCATCCATGCCGGCACACCAATCACATGTTTCGTGGCCCCATAGGGAGCTCCACCGAAGGCCGCAGTAGCTGCGCTCGCATGCGCCCGCCGCACACATTCCGGTACACCCATCACACGCGAGCCCCACCGAAAGGCCCCATGCGCCCGCCGCAACCATATCGGCGCACTCCTCACACGATTCGTGGCTCCGTAGAAAGCTCCACCAGAGGCCCCAGTGGCTGCGCTCGCATGCGCCCGCCGCACCGATTTCGGTACACCCCTCACACGCTTCGTGGCCAGGCCCACCGAAGACCCCAGTGGCTGCGCTCGCATGAGCCCGCCGCATCCATGCCGGCGCACCCCTCACACGCTTCGTGGCCCCATAGGGAGTTCCCCCGAAGGCCGCAGTGGCTGCGTTCGCGTGCGCCCACCGCACCCATTTCGGCACGCCCCTCACCCGCTCCGTGGCACCAGAGTGAGCTCCACCGATGACGACATTCACAATTGCGTCACTCACAGCTGCATATGGTCGGGTCCCTCGCCAGGCGAAGGTTTTGCTTCTTGCGAACAATATGTACTGTTGATCACTTCCACGGCGCCCACTGCTTTTTCAATGTGTGTACCTTCACTTGACGGGCACGCCCTGGCTTTGACAAGGGAAGTTCGGAGCCTCAGACTGTATTGTTGGGCCCTTGGCTAGACCAGCAACTGCTACGGCATCTCCCACTATTGAGGAGCCGCGTTCTCGCTAGAGAATCCCTGCAGCTTGCTCAAGAATCGCGCCCTCGTCTGGGACATCGGAATGAAGTACTTGATTTAGAAATAGCGCGCGCGCCGCTCTAAAACCTTGCTCGCGCGTTCAATTTAGGAAGGATCGCTATTAATTGTTCGGTAGGATCCTCCCGCCCGACCCGGCCGATTGCCTGGAACACCGCCCGCCCGCTTTGGTGTCCCGACCAGCCCGTTTAGGGTCCACCCACCCCACCCGCCCGTTCGGGTCCGCTGGCCAACCCGATCGTTCGGGTCCGCCGTGTTCAATGCCCCGTTAGCCCGATCAGCTCGTATTTGTCTGGCCGCCCGACTGGCTTGTCTTACCTTGTCGGAGCTCTTCCCGGAGTTAACAGAAACAACGCAAAGGGGGTGCGCTCGTAAACGAAGAAGGCGGGAGTTTGGGACCTGCTTTACACAGACACATATCAAATGTCGCGAGGGCGCTGAAGCGCGAACAGTGTAAGCTTGATTGTTACCCAAACAGTGCTTGCAGTTTGGGGGTCGTGCTTCTGCTCTAAGGATTTGAGCTGGTGTGGCCGTTTGGCGGCTATGCCGCCGCCTTCTCCGCCCCGCCGCCGCCTCGTCGCCGCCCGTCGTCTGAGCCGGTGTGGCAGTCCGTCGCCGCCTCGTCGCCGCCCGTGGTCTGGGCCTGGTGTGGCGGTCTGGCGGCCATGTTATCGCCGTCGCCGCCTCGTCGCCGCCCGTCGTCTGGGCCGGTGTGGCGGTCTGGCGGCTACGTTGTCGCCGTCGTCGCCCCATCGTGGCCTCGTCGCCGCACAGATTGCGTACCATATAGATTGTACCGTCGATTGTCTATTTAAAAAGAGAGTCGACTCTACCCCCGCTTCCCCCCCGGGATTATCGACCCTCCTTTTCGTAATAAAATGTACATACGATTCGGCCCCATCGTCCATCCGGAATATAAATCCATACCATCACAGCCCAACTGGTATCGATTCCCTCCGCCATCATCAAGAAAAACATATGCGCGCCAATTCGTGTATAAAACAGCTGAAGTTTTCAATCACCCCTTGCAAAATAGATGACGACGACGTGCACACGCGCGCGTGGTCGCGCGCGCATGCCGAAATTCTTCAAAAACCTTTGCTTCGTTAGCTATTTCAATCACGAGTGCCCAACGAACATGCAACACATGGATCTCACGACGTGGGTCGATGCTTTTCCCCAGCATCAGGGAGGCGAATGTACCCTCAGCCTACCCGGGTAGGAACCTCCAGGAGACGGCCCGGTGAGCCCCGCTGCCAGCCGTTGCCTCGGAAAGCGGGTGAGGTAGAAACGGCCGGACGGAAGCCAGATGTGCATCCATCGCCACCCTTTACACGCGCGTCTCGGCGCGAAGCGGGGGGGGGCGGGCGGGCGATCCTGCGTTCCGTCACGCGGTGTGCGCCCTGCGTGGCGCCCTGCCAGGACGCGGCAGGCAAGTGCGAAGCGTTGCGCCCTGTCCGGCGCTTGGCGACGCAACGCGTCCTGCGCGCTGCCCTGCCACGGGCAGGCAGGCACTCGGCCCTGCGGGGACGTGACCCCCCGAGCCCTGACTCAGCAGCACAGTAGGCGAATTCCAGAGAAAACCATAGGTTGTTTGTCGTCGGTTTCATGGAATTCTGCCAAACGGGCCTCTCGCGCCGCATGCCGACATCATTCGCGCGCCTTTGCGCGCGCCGGGGGGGCGCGATCCGTGTCAGAGAAAACCATGCGGGCCACTCGCGCGTCGGCCGCGCGCGCATGTCGAACTCTTTCCAAAATCGTCATCGCCGACGTGAGGACGCCGTCGTCGTCGTCGGCGTGTTCAGTATTGGCGCCCGCAATGGCCGCGTCGTCGTCGTTGTCGACATCGTCACCAGCTTCGCTACTTTCATCATCGCGTCTACCGTTGTCGACGTCCTCATGATACCGCTCCCACCCAAGCCGCCGACTCGCACTGAAGTGCCCGCTGCGATGTGCCCGGTGGTCAGCGCCACCGTGGCCGCGTCGGTCGTGCCAAAAAAGCTGGCCGTGTGCGCGCTTGCGTGGGTTGGCGCGGCCGCAGAGATGGACAAGCCGACGTCAACCACTCATCGCAATCGCCGCCGCATTGGTCTATGCAAACCAAATGGCGGGCGGGTGGGTGGGATGATTGCGCGAGCAGTGGAGGTGGTTAAGCGCGGTGCAGGGTAGTGAATTGCGCCACATAAGTTGCACTTGTTCTATTGCGGCACATATGTTGTACAACGTAGATATGCGTTACATAGATTGCGCAGCATAGATTGCACCGCGTCTGCCGCCTCACAAATAGTATACAACATGGACCGCACGACATATATTGCACGGCGTTGCACAACACATATAGCACAACATATATTGCACAACTACATTCCACTACATGTGTTGAACAACGTAGACTGCACAACATCAATTGCACAACGTGTCATGCGACACGACACATGACAACAAAGATGTTGCGCAGCATCTATTGCGCAACACATATTGCACCACATGGACTGCACAACATATATGATACCACATATATTGCACCACATATACTGCAGAAGGGATATTGCCGAACATATTGAACACACCACGGTGTATGGCACATCGCATGTTGCACCACACAGATTGCACGACATCAATCGGGCAATACATGTTGCACCACATCGATTGAGTTGCCCAACGTGTGTTGCGCCAAAGCCATAGCATACTTTCGATTGCACCGCCTAAATTGCGCACGCGCAGCTTGCACAGCGTAGGATGCATTAATTAATTTGAACACCGTACGCGGTAAATACTGGACCACGTAGTTTGGTGCAAGGTGTATTTCAGTGCATCCATTGCTAAACCACACATTGTTTGGAATCCACGCTGGCTAACTAATTTGGTCGTTGAGATTTCTACATCTCACTTACTGCAGCCCCCCTTTCCCGTCCATTGCCCTGGTTGTTTTCCCAATTGAAGTGCCCCATCGACTCCCTTGTTTCTGGTCGCGGATAGTTTCCGGATGATAACTGCATTGTGGCCCGCGAACCACAACAACAGCTCCCGCCGCAGACGGCCTTGGCTTCCTCGATGTTCTTATGACTTGCGCTCTCGCCGCTGCTTTCCTCTCAATGTACGAAATCAAAGCTCATGCGTTAACTTCCCGCCCGATCGCCAGGTCCGCTCTTTCAATGTTCTGGAAGCGCGCTCGCCCGTTTGGATGCTCCGCCCTTCCAGTCCGCCCGTCTAGCTTGTCCGTTTCAATGCCCCGCCCGCCCGACCAGCTTGTCAGGGTCCGCTCTCACACTTGCGTGGAAGCTCGCTTGCCCGCTTAAGCGTCCCGTCGCCCGGCCCGCCCGTTAGGGTCCGCCCGCCCGACACGCACGTTAGGGTCCGCCCGGTCGGGCCCGCCTGCCCGATGCACCTCACTTACCCTGTCGGGGTTTACCCAGACGCTGGCATAGCAAAGGTGCCCCCCAATGAAATTATTGTTGTTGTTGTTTTTGCTGTTGATCCTCGTGCTTCTGAGCGCAGTGTCTTATGAGTGCGCTTGCATTTCTTGCGCGGGTAAGCCTTTCAGGAGGAGGGTGAGGATTCAGTTCAGGGAGCGACTACTTTGTTGTCTACCTCGTAGCTCCCGTAGGTTCCTTTGGTTCCCTATGTGCAGCTTGAGTACGCCTTGATGCATTTCTGCATTGGTGGGTGGTAAATTCCCCAGTCGTGGTCGTTGTTGATGCGCTTGTATTGTCGCCTTCGGCCAGTGCCGCCGATCTGGGTCGCTTTTGGTGCCACCCGGACTGGGCGGCGACATTTCGCGGACGGATACGCGCGCACGCGTCGCAGACGTTACGCGCACACGCGCACACACGCACACACGCACACACACACACACACACACACTACACACCCACAGACACACACACACACACACATACACTACGTTCACACACGCGCACCACCTTCGCAGGCACCTGCACACGCACAAGCCGGCAACACACACATACACACATACACGCACCACGCACACCGCGCAAACACACGCACCATACAGCAGACACGCATTTCACCGCGACCTTCGTTTTCTCACCCTTTCGCTACCCATTTTCCGCTGTTGTCCCGTTCTACTTCTTCTCCCTTTTTCCCCGATTCCCTTCTCACGCACACGGACAAACATTACCTCACGCACACGCGCACACGTCCCCTCCCTTCCTTCCCCGGCAGAGCCACCCCGGCAACCTCCCCAGAGGCTGAAGCTCAGCCTCGAGGCTGTAGTTGAGGCTCCTTCAGAACTCACGCGCCACGGACCCCCTTCCCCTCCCCCGCGCCATCGGAACCCACGCCACCGGCCCCCCCCCCTCTTCCCCCAGGTCCCCCTGTCCATAGGCAGACAGGGGACCAGACCCCCCCCCCCCACGCCACCGGAACCCACGCCACCGGATCCCTCCCCCCCACCCCTACCCCGGCAGAGCCACCCCGGCCACCGACCCCCCTCCCTCTTCCCCCAAGTCCCCTTGTCCACAGGCGGGACGCGGGACTGGACACCCCCCCCCAGGCACCAGAACCCACGCCGCCGGACCCCCCCTCCCCTCCCCCTACTCTTGCAGAGCCACCCCGGTCCCCCCCTCCATTTTTTAAACTCACACGCCGGATCGGCGGATTTGTATTGGGCACCGTTGCATTGCCACGTTTCCAGAACTGTTTGCTCTGTAGAGTTTCGATCACGTTGCATGCGCGATTTGCACCTGTGGCCATATTACTAGTACTGCTAAGTTTCGTCAAGGTCTAGGCGTTGTTTGATGCGTTAGCATGTCTTGCGAACTCACAGCGCGTAGCCAAGCCAATGACCCCGCTTTCTCGGTGACGGCGAGTCGGTTCATTCCCACATTGGGTAATTCGTTTTTGTTTTGCTCTGTTCTCCGCCGCTGTTATATTTGAATTCCGAAGGACCAGAGGACTCTCCACTCAGTCGCGTGTCGTCTACACCGCAAAATCTATACAAGTACGTGGTGCAGTCTTCATCTTGCACGTAAGGCCACCTGAATGGAACATTGCAGTACGCTTTGCTATCTGGCACCTGCGAATCTGCGTTATCATCTAGGGTTTGGAGATTAGTGCATCGTCCTGGCTTGAGTTGTTGCGACTAGATGCGCCTTGATGTGTTTTGGGATTTCAAGACTGCTTCGGTGTTTGTTCATGTTCATTGTGTTGTCCCACTCTTCCCTCGGAACGTTGTGGGTTCCATTTCCTGTTTCCGAGGAAATGGTGTCAAAGATGAGGACCGACTGCGACGATTTGCGGGAGCTCCCGAACTTGGTGTTCTCGCTCGGCGGCACGATGCTCTCACGCCCAACATGTAACTTCCCACCTCCCCTATTTCCCCACCGAGCGGGTCTGCGAACGGGGGTCGTACATCGTTGAGGGAGCATGCAGCGCTGAGGGTATGCGAGAGACGAGTGTGGGATACACTGACCCAGTTGCGAGAGCTTGAGGAATTGCGGAGCGGTGGCATGCAGCCGTGGGGGTCGACGTGGATGAGGTTGTAGAAGGTCCACGTGCGAGAATGTGTAATTTTATTCTAGTGTGTCTACCCCGTTTCGGTTATCACGACCCCGGGACGAAGCATGGGAGAAGGAGGAGGCGGAGGAGGAACATTGTGAGCAGCAGCAGGAGGAGCAGGAGGAGAAAGGGGAACGATGAGGAAGAGGAAGAGGGGAACTCTGAGGCAGAGAATGAAGAGGAGGACAGGGTGCACGCACAACCAGGACAGCATAGACAATCACAACTGAAGGACGCGTGTCTCCAGGAGGGGAAAAAAGGAAGACAAGGGGGATGGACGATCAGGCAGGCATGGTAAGTTTTGGTGCCGCTTCGGATCGTGACCCCAGGATGACCTCGAAGGTCCCAGAGGCATTTGGAGGCAAACAAGAAGTGTCTGCAACGTTTAAATTGTTCATCGTCGTGGACACCGAGTGAATTACTGCACTGTCAACGTGTAGGTTATGTGGTGCGTTATATGAGGTGCAATATGTAAAGTGTGAGCTATGTGGTGTAAGCTAGGTCGTGCAAGCTACGTGGTGTAAGCTATGTGGTGCAAGCTATGCGGTGCGAGCCTTCTGGTGCACTTGGTCGATGTGCTGTATGGTGTAAGCTGTGTGGTGGTGGCTATGTGGGACAATACATGTGATGCTGCCTACCTGGTGCGACCTGTTCGGTGCAAGCTACGTGGTACAAACCATGTGGTGCAAGCTGTGTGGCGCAAGCCGCGTGAACTTGGCGGTGCTCACGCGGCGCACACGGCCGCCCACCTGGTGACACCGCGCCGCGCCCGCCCGGCGCACGGGGCGCCCGCGAGGCGCCCATGGCCGCCTGGCAGGCGAAGCTTCGCCGTGCGCCCGCCCCGCGTGCGGGCGCCCGCGAGGCGGTGGAACCTCGCCGCCCCCGCCCAGCGCACGGGGCGCCCCCGCCCACCAGGGCGACGCCGCGCCGCGCCCGCCCGGCCCACGCGGCGCTCACGAGGACGCCCGCGGCCGCCCGCCCGGCGCCACCCGCCCCGGCGCCCGCGAGGCGCCCGCGGGGCGCCCACGGCCGCCCGCTGGGCGAGGCCCCGCAGCACCCACCCCGTGCGTAGCTTGGCATCGCTCGGACGTGTGCGTTTTTCCTTCGGCGAGGACCATCGAGGAGCATCCTTGATCATTTCGCGAAACAACCACGCACGAAACCGGAAAAAGCACAGGAAATGGACGTCCGAGCGATGGCCAGAGAGAGCCCCTTAAGGGGCAAACCGTGTTTTTTGTTGGGGGGGGGGGGGGGGGGAAATGGAGCGCTTTGCAGGTAGGCCGGCACTTGCAGGCAGGTCGGGCGGCCCAGACCGAGGTTCTCGCTGCCCCCGGACGCGTACGTGGCCAGCGTGGCCGACGAGGTCCCGAGCTACCTGCAGGGCTCCGTGCGCATGGCCGACATCAGCCTCGGTGCGACCACCCACGAGGGGGTGGGGGAGAGGGGAGAGGTGAGGGAGAGTCCCCTCCTCCTTTGCCTCCATTTCCCCTCCCCCACCCGCCTCCCTGTGCTGAGCCGGGCGAAGGGGGGCGGGGAGGGAGGTGAGGAAGGGCGATGGGGAACGGAAGGGTGGAGGGGAGGGGAGGTGGAGGGAGGAGGGCCAGGGGGACGAGGAGGGGGACGGGAATGAGGGATGGGGGAGGGGTGGGGGGGGCAGGCGCCTCGCCGCATGCCTCTCGTTTTGACGGGGAGGCCCGATTTTTTCAGGTGCACGCACCGACTCGCTTCGAGACGCCTTGGCCTTGGCGCGCTCTGCCGCCGTCTCGGGGCACGGAGCAGCTCGCAGCCCGCAGGGGGCGGCGCCGCGCACGAGCGAGGTCTGCCCGGCCCTCGTCTGGCCGAAGCGGGGCTGGGAGTAGGCGGGGGGAGCAACAACAACGGGAGGAGCAGGAGCAGCAGCGGGGGAAGGAAGAGGAGAGGTGCTGACCCGACGGCGACGGGGCCGCAGCCAGGCCGAAGGGCGCCAGACGAGGGCGAGGCGACGCTCGGCAGAGAGCCAGCGAAGAGGAGGAGGAGGAGGAGGAGGAGGAGGAGGAGGAGGAGAGGAGGAGGAGGAGGGAGGAGAGGAGGAGGAAGAGGAGGAGGAGGAGGAGGAGGAGAGGAGGAGGAGGAGAGGAGGAGGGGAGGAGGAGGAGGAGGAGGAGGAGGCGGAGGAGGAGGAGGAGGAGGAGGAGGAGGAGGAGGAGGGAGGAGGAGAGGAGGGAGGAGGAGGAGGAGGAGGAGAGGAGGAGGAGGAGGAGGAGGAGGAGGAGGAGGAGGAGGAGGAGGCGGAGGAGGAGGAGGAGGAGGAGGAGGGGAGGAGGAGGAGGAGGAGGAGGAGGAGAGGAGGAGGAGGCCGGAGGAGGCGGAGGAGGAGGAGGAGGAGGAGGAGGAGAGAGGAGGAGGAGGAGGAGGAGGAGGAGGAGGAGGAGGAGGGGAGGAGGGAGGAGGAGGAGGAGGAGGAGGAGGAGAGGAGGAGAGGGAGGGGGAGGAGGAGAGGGGAGGAGGAGGAGGAGAGGGGAGGAGGAGGAGGAGAGAGGAGGAGGAGGAAGGAGGAGGAGGAGGGAGGAGGAGGAGGAGGAGGGAGGAGGAGGAGGAGGAGGAGGAGGAGGAGGAGGAGGAGAGGGAGGGAGGAGGAGGAGGAGGAGGCGGAGGTGGAGGGGGGAGGAGGAGGAGGTGAGGAGGGGAGGAGGAGGGGGGGGAGGAGGTGAGGGCGGCGTCTGACAGACCCTTGCGCCGGCGGTGGAGCTGGGCGAGGCCGAGGAGGAGCCAGGAGAGGCCGCTCGGCCTGGAGGGGCCGGCGCGGGAGGGTCCGAGGTGCGAGGTGGGCAGGATGCGGAGGGCCCGCGGAGGGCTCCTCCGCGTTCTCGTCTGGGACTCGGGCTCCTCCGCGGAGGGCTTTTCCGGAAGGCTCCTCCGGAGGGCCCGCGGAGGGCCCTTCGGAAGGCGATGCCCCTCGGACCCCGACGCGCCCAGGCGGCCGATCGGCCGTTCTTCGGGGGGCCGTCGCGGTGTGCGCTGGACGGGTCGCAGCTAGTCAGGAGAGGGGTGAGGAGGAAGGATGATGAGGAGGAGGAGGAGGAGGAGGAGGAGGAGGAGAAGGAGGAGGAGGAGGGGGAGGAGGAGGAGGAGGAGGAGGAGGCGGGGGAGGAGGGGAACTTCTGCGCTCCGCTGGTGCCGCCTCCGGTTGCCGCAGCCTCCGGGCCAAGCCGCCCGGGGCCGGCGGCACGCGCCATAGTATTGGCCTGCGGAGCCCCGCCGGGGAGCCAGAGGGATCTTGGTCATTATCTTTCTCTGCTGGCCTTCCCCGACCCAGATCGGTGCCATGCCATGCACTAGGCGGCGCAGAGTAATTACGGAGCAAGGTTGGGGGAAGGGTGAAGGATGGAGCAGGGGGGGCGAAGAAGGCAGGGACCAGGGTTGATGAAAGACTCGGACGAGCCCCGCCCGAACTGAACGACTTGCGCCCTCCCCCGTCCTCCTTCAAAATCCTGTCTCTCCTGGTGGACCTCCCCGACACCATCTCCCCGCGAGTTCCTCGCCTCCTTCGACCCCCATCCCCTCCTCGACCTTCTCGACCCCTTCCCCCCTTCCCTGCCACTCTTCCCTGGCTTGCCTTTCGTCCCTCTCCTCCTCCGACCTGCTCCTTCTCGCGACTCACAAGGGAACGCCGCGCCCCCTTATCGGTACACGCTGGGCCGCAGTGTAGCTGCCCTCCTCGGGCCCTCTCCGCGTGAGGCGAGAACGGGAGGGCCCATGAGGGAAAAACACACACAGGTACAGAATCGTCGATCCCCAGGAGTCGATGGGAAAGTATGGGAAGTGGTGGAGAAGAGCATTCAGAAAACGCTGAACAATGCGGGGTATCTGAGGATTTGTGTCCATCCAGCTGCTTGCGGCAAGTCCCGCCACCGTGCCTGGGCTGTGGGCATGAAGCCTATTGGATGATCGTTGAGATCTCGTGGGTGGCCTCTCGTGGGCGTCTAGGAAGCAGATTTGAGGCCTCTCGTGGGCAGTTTGGGGGCCTCTATGGGCCTCTCTTGGGCCTCTTGGGGGCCTCTTTGGGGCCCTATTGGTGGCCTCTTGTCTTGGGGGCCTCTTGGGGGCCTCTTGGGCGCTTCTTGCGGCCTTCTTGGGGCGGAAGACTCGGATTTGCCGTTCGTGGTCCCTCTCTTGGGTCCTTTTTGGGGCCGTTGTGGGGCTTTTTTGGGCCATGTTCGGCGCCTCTTGGGTCGTCTTGGGGCCCTCCTAGGCCGTCTTGGGGCCGCCAGGGGGCCTCTTGGAGGCCCCTTGGGCATATTTGGAACGGTTTGTCGGGGCCTCTTGGGCCATCTTGGAGCGTCGGAAAGCCGAAAAGGCGGAAACACCAACATCCTGCAAGCATTTTGTATGACAACCAATGGCTTCTGCCTCTTGGGTACCTCTAGAGAGGCCTCTTGGGGCGTCTTGAAGGCCTCTCGGATGCCTCTTTGGGTGTCTTGAAGGCCTCTTGGGCCATGTTGAGGCCATCTTGGGCGTCGTCGAGCGATCGTTCGGCGACTGGGGGCCCTCTTTGGACCGTCTCGGAGGCCCCCTGGGCCGTCACGGAAGCCTTGGAGAGCCCCAGGGAGGCGCCATGGCCGCCCACGGACCTTCGGGAGTAGGAGCGGTGCAGTCCCCACTCCGTGACGGGGGTGGGTGGGAGGGTTCCTTAGAAGATTACAGAAGCCATGCCAGGCAGCACTTGGCATTCTTCCGCGCCTCACCGTGCCGCAGGCGCGGTGGCAGATTTTTTTTGTTGTGTGTGTGTGTGTGTCCCTGGGCCCTTACTCTATTGCTGGTGCCGCCAACTCTGCCTCGCCGCCGACGAAAACATTGAGTGTCCCTGGGCCCCTTCAGAGAAGGAGGGCTGCACAGCACATGCCCACCATCGGGCCGAGACGAGCCAGGAGCGTGATGCGCACTTGAGCAAGCAAGAACGAGGTCCTCTGCGCCGACATTGGCGCGTAAGCTGCCCGCGTAAGGTCGCGCGTAAACGCCCTCGCTTCTAATGCAGCTAGCCGCGCTCGCGTCCCGCACAAGCCGCGGCGCAAGGTCGCTACGTCACCTCGCGTAAGACCTTTTTGGATCGTCGCTCACATTCAGCTCACGCCGCCGCACTCCCGCTCCCAGCTCTTTTGCGCCTCCTGCACCTATGGGGCGGCGGCCCTTCCTGGCGGCGCTGCCTGACGCGCCTCTTGGGCGGTGCGCCTCTTGTGCCCAGACTCACCGAGAATAGAAGACCCCCCAACCCGAATAGTATAGTGAAGGCATGGCCTCACTTAGGTCCCCGTCTTTGCAGTAGGGATCAAAATCTGGGCGGTCTGGTCCGATTTTTGTTGGCCCTCCTAACTTGTGTCCCCACCCAAAGGGTTCGGGGGCTTGGGGTCCCTCTAGCTGCGAATCGCAAGTGGTGGACGAATCGGGCACTTTCCTTCGCCCCCCGTCAATCGCCCCACCCGTGAGACAATGACCATGCTTCAGGAGCCACCCCTCGCTGCTCCTCGCTCCTCCTCGCTCCTCCTCCCCCTCCTCCTCCTCCTCCTCCTCCTCCTCCTTCCCCTCCTCCTCCTCCTCCTCCCTCCTCCTCTCATCGTCCTCCTCCCTTCCTCCTCCTCCTCCTCCTCCTCCTCCTATCCTCCTCTCCTCCTCCTCCTCCTCTCCTCCTCCCTACTTTCCTTTCCTCCTCCTCCTCCTCCTCCTCCTCATTCTCATCCTCATCCTTCTCTTCCTCCTCCTCCTCCTCCTCCGCATCCCTCCTCCTCCTCCTCCTTCTCCTTCTCTTCCCTCCTCCTCCTCCTCCTCCTCCTTCTCTTCCTTCCCTTTTTTCTCCTCCTCCTCCTCCTCCTCCTCCTCCTCCTCCGCCTCCTCCGCCTCCTCCTCCTCCTCCTCCTCCTCCTCCTCCTCCTCCTCCTCTGGGGTCGAACGGCAGGGGAGGGGAGTTGGGAAAGGGGAGGGGGGGTGGTACGACACCTGCTGCGCGCACCCGGTTTTGGCCCCGCCTCCGCGCACTCGGTGCGCTGGCACCCCTGGCGCCCGGCGGCTCCCTACCCCCCCCCCTTTTGCTATTCTCCTTCCGACGGGGCCAGGGCGTCTCTCTTCCCCATGCTCTAGCTCACCCGCCCTGCTCTTGCAGGGCCCCCCCCCTCGCCCCTCTTCAGACGAACGCTGGCGTGCAAGGTCCTTTCGACTTCTGTGGTTTCCGCACGTGCAAGTCGTTTGCAGCTTACTTCCGGCTCAAGCCCCCCCCCAATTCATGCAAGTAATCTTGCCAGAGTCTTGAAAGCCAGGCTCCAGTCTTGGGGACTCCTGGGAGGCCCCCGTCGCCACCGCTGGCTTCAGGGAGGACTCCGGGGAGTAGCGTTCAGTCGGGCCTGTCCTTCCACAGGAGGAAAATTCAGAAATGGTAAAAAACTAGACTGGGGACGATCTTCTGACTATGTTTGACCTTTGGGGAGTCTTTTTGGAGTATTTTCTATTTTTCGTCCGACATCCGCCTGCAGGGGGGCATGCCCGACCTAAGAGTAGCGGTGTACGGGTACCTTTTGGTCTCCCCAGCGCAGCCTCCGGCTCGGCCCATATGGGGCCGCATGCACGCCGAGGCCGGCGCGCCGCGCCAGGGGCAGAGCCTGGGGTCAAGCAGTGGCGAAGCGTCCTGGCTCGCCTATGGCCCCACCAAGCAATGTTCTAAGAACTTGTTGTGGTTCCCACAGAATGTTCTTAGAACATTTCTGGCTGGGACTGCTTGTTTTAACACATCGGGTTAGTGTTCTAAGAACATTGTTTTGTTCTTAGAAAATCCTTGGATTCGAAGAGCTCTGCGTGGTAGGACTATAGGAATGCCGGACGGTCGGTCCCTACTCAATTGGGGGAGGGGCTCGCCGGCCCTGCAGCGCCGTGTCCATGCGGGAGGGAGGTCCTGACGCTGCAACTTCCGTGGGCGCGCTGACGGTGTCTTGGCTGACGGCGAAGTAGGAGATCCAGGTGTAGGAAAGCGCGGCGCACGTGGCCAGACCACTTGTAGGAGCGCGTGGTTCGTGTTATCCTACCACTCGCTGTGTCGTTTTCGCTCGGCACGTTGGCAGATTTTGAAATGTAGGACACGGCCTCTAGTCAGTTCCTACATCTTGTTCTGCGTGGGCTCAGTGCCACAACAACCATATGCCCAACCGCACCGTTAACGAAGCACGCCGTTAGCGCGGCCTTGGATTCTTTTTCACAACGGGCGTTTGCGCCTGGGCCCCGCCTCGTCTCGTCTCGAGTTGGGACCCATGCGATCCCGGCTTCTTCGCCACGGGCCTTCTCGCCCGGTGTCGGGCCCCGGGGCCCTCACAGACCGATCCGGCGCGCAAGATGCCGCCGAAAGATGGGGTCCAGGGCTCTGGTCGCGACTTTTCGTGATGTTGCATGTTTGTCCAAACCATCCTGTGGTGTCGGGTCCTCGTTTTGAAGAGACGGTCCCCGCGTTCCTCCTCTCTCCTCTCTCCTCCTCTCCTCCTCCTCCTCCTCCTCCTCCTCATCCTCCTCCTCCTCCTCCTCCTCCTCCTCCTCCTCCTCCCCTCCTCCTCCTCTTTCTCCTCCTCCCCTCCTCTTTTCTCCTCCTCCTCCTCCTCCTCCTCCTCCTCCTTCTCCTCGCCTCCTCCTCCTCCTCCTCCTCCTCCCCCCTCCTCCTCCTCCTCCCTCCTCCTCCTCCTCCTCCTCCTCCTCCGTCCTCCTCCTCCTCCTCCTCCTCCTCCTCCTCCTCCTCCCCCTTCCCCTCCTCCCTCCTCCCGTCCTTCCACGGGTTTGACGCACCCTTCACGCGTTTCGTGGCCCGATAAGGGGCTCCACCGAAGGCCCCAACGGCAGGGTCCACATGAGGCACCCGCACCCGATTCGGCACGCCCCTTATACGTTTCTTTGCCAATAGGGAGCTCCACCGAAGGCCCCAACGACAGGGTCCACATGGCGCACCCGCACCCGATTCGGCACAACCCCTCACATGTTCGTGGCCCCATAGGGAGCTCGTCGAAGGCCCCAACGGCAGGGTCCACATGGCGTGCCCGCGCCCCTCATACGTTTCGTGGCCCCATAGGGAGCTCCACCGAAGGCCCCAACGGCAGGGTCCACATGGCGTACACGCGCCCGATTCGGCAAACCCCTCACACTTTCCATGGCCCCATAAGGAGGCTCCACCGAAGGCCCCAACGGCAGGGTCCACATGGCGTACCCGCGCCCGATTCGGCACAACCCCTCACATGTTCGTGGCCCCATAGGGAGCTCCACCAGGGCCTTCGGGGTCCACATGGCGTACCCGCGCCCGATTCGGCAAACCCCTCACACGTTTCGTGGCCCCAAAGGGAGCTCCCCCGAGGGCCCCAACGGCAGGGTCTATATGGCGCCCCCGCACCCGATTCGGCACGCCCCTCACATGTTCGTGGCCCCATAGGGGGCTCCGTCGAAGGCCCCAACGAAAAGGTCCACACGGCGCACCCGCGCCCGATTCGGCAAACCCCTCACACGTTTCGTGGCCCCAAAGGGAGCTCCCCCGAGGGCCCCAACGGCAGGGTCTACATGGCGTACCCGCACCCGATTCGGCACGCCCCTTGCATCCGCGCGCGTCTCTGGGACCCTCTCGGGGCAACCAGCGCGCGTTGCGTGAACTCCGTGCCGCGCTCAGCCCAGCGCCTCGCTCGCCAGTCGTCGCTCTGCCCAGCGGCCAGAGTCTTGCCCGCTCTCAGCCAGCCAGCCGGCCAGCAAGCTGTTTTTGCTCCGCGCAGCGGACGACCCGTTCGCGTCGCTGGGACCCCTTCGGGGCGACCAGCGCGCGTCGCGGGGACTCCGCGCTGCGTTGCGCGCGCAGCCTGGGAGATGGGAGCGAGCGGGCAAAGAGGGAGATCAAGAAGAGAAATCCCATCCAGGACGGTCGAGAAGTCTTAGCTTTCTCGCTACTCCGCCCCGCCGAATAGATCGCGAACAAAGCAAGCCGCGCCGAAGGCCTTACAGGGAGCCCCACCGAATGCCCCAGTGGCGGCGCCCGCGCGCCGCCTCCAGCCCAATTTGGCACACCCTCACGTTTCGCGCGCCCCGCGCCCCAAGAAGAAACCCCGCCGAAAAGGAGATTCACGCTCGCGGTGCCCAAAGTTGCATATGGTTGAGTCTTTTGCCAGGCTAATTTTTGCCGCGTCGGATCTCAGGGGGTGCCCCGCGCGCCCCCCGTCGCCCCCCTGGCAGGCGGGGGCCAGCCTTCCCGCAGCCCTCTGCTGCCCGCCCTCCCTGGTTGCCCGAAAGAGGTCTTTAGAATGATGGGCCCCCTCCCCCCCGAAGCTCTCGGCGGGCCGTTCAAACTCGTCCTCCCCAGTTTCGCCCTTCCCCTCCTTCCCTTTTCCCCTCCTACCCTCCTCCTCGCGTTCCCCTCCTCGCCCTCCCACCAGTCCTCCCTCTCCTCCCCCCCTGCTCCGGGTGAGGCGCCCAGGGGGCGCCCTCTGATCTCGTCAGTAGGGACTTCGTCTGCGGAGCCTCCGCCTCTGTTGCGTTTTCGGCCGACCCGGCCCGAGGCCATCCTTGAGATCTTGGCGCCGGATTTTTTTTCACAACGGCCGTTTCCGCCCAGGTCCGGGCCCCGGGAATTTCACAGATCGATCCGGCTCGACAGATGCCGCAGAAGGGTGGGGTCCGGGGGGCTCCGGTGGTGATTTTTTTGCTGCGATGTTGTAGTTGTTGTTAGCGATGCCGGGTTTCAGGGTTGGCCTCTTTGGCTTCCCCTCTCGCGCCGAGGCTGGGCTGGTCGGGCGGCGGGTCCTGGAAAGGAGCTGGAGCAGGCCGGGCTCGCTGACGGGTCTGGCGCGGAGGAGGAGGTTTGAGCTTCGTTTGCACGGGATTTTCTTGACCCTTTCGGCCGGTACGGTCCTCCTCCTCCACCCTCCCCTTGTTTTCCCCTTTTGGTCCTCCTGGGCCTCCGTCGTCGCCACCGTTGGATGCGCTTCGAAATCCTGGTCGGAACGCACCCCAGGAGAGGTCCGGGGAGTCGCAATATCGGTACCTTTTGATTTCCCCACCGCCCCCGCCTCTCCTCTCCCCCTGCTCCAGTTCCCGGTCTCGCGATGGGGCGTCGACCGAGGTCCGCGCGTTCAGGGCTCGAAGAAGGGCAAGTGCAAGGCGCGCGCCGCTGGAGCGTCGCGGGGTAGGCAGTCGGCGTGGGCAAAACACCTATGTGGCGTTTCAGAAACGGCCTCGCCTACGAAGGTCGAAGGAGTTGGCATCTCTTCCTCGGTGGAAGGCGGCGGAAGGCTGGCGGAAGGCGGTGGAAGTGAGACGAGGGTGGCTCCGCCGACGAACGGCCAGCGGAAGCCAGCGGGAGCAAGATATTCGCCCCCAAGAGATGGCAACATTTTTGGGTTCGGGTTTTCCAGGATCGGCCAGATCCGTATCCGCGGCCTCGCGGGCCAGGCCCCTGGAACGCGACCTGGCGGATACGGGGCGTCCTTGTCGCGGCTGCCCCGCGCGGAACCTATCGGTACGACCACGTGTCCGCGGGATTGCGCCCCTGGATCGCGAGGGTGTGGATACGGATATGTTCGCCGCTCGTGAAGTCGTGGCGATCAGAATTAGCAGCAGTGAATTAACGGGCGAATAACGGTATAAGACACACTTTTTCGCTGTCGGGGGCGCCTGCCCCAGGGTGGCTGGAAAGTTTACACCCTTACGGTGGCACGTCAAGGCTCCCGGCGACGGAAAAGTTTAGTGTATCTCGTTCTTCGCCCGCGAAGTGAAGCAGCGGCAGCAGCGGCAGCTGCGGAGGCGGCGCCAGTGGCAGTAAGCATCGGCAGCGGCCGCGGCCAGCGGGAAGGGACCTCCCCTCTCTGTTCCTCCACCTTGTTCGGAACCGTCGCCGCCGCCTCCGATCTTCCCCTCGTCGTCCTCCTTGTCTTAAGTCGGGCATGTCCCTCTACAGGAGGAGTATGAAAAATAGTTTAAACATAGTCAAGGGGCGACCTCATCGAATATGTGTCGACTGTTTCTTC